AGGAGTGATGTCAGTGTATTTTGCAGACTGAGAAAGAAAGGCTCGACACACTTTGATATGAACCCTGTCAGCGTGAAACCGGACAGGTCTCAGACAAACGAGCTTTAAACGAACATAACGTCCAAACAAGAATAATAACACGTTTACACACAAACTCCTGACAGTTAGACAATAAATAAAATGAGGTTCACAGAATTTGTGAGGCTGTCTCTGATGTGCCAGGTTGAATTTCACAGTTTGTATCATGTTCTTAATTATTTGAAGTTAATTGTGAGTCCAGAAACCCCAAAAGTAAAAAAACTAAATAAAAACTTAGCAGGTCGAGTTTCTGCCCTGAATAATCACCTCGCTCTACTTTTTAATATCCAAACAGGGAACGCCGGGAATGTTGAAACAGTTCTGAGGCTTTCAGCATTGTTTGCTGTAATTCTGCCTGTTAATCGTCTCAGCTGGAGTAGACTGGACCTCTTATTTAATGCAAGTCCTTTATGAGATGATTGAAGGTAGCCGCCATTAAAACCTGGTGACCTGCAGCATTGCCATGTGAGCTCCATGGACTGCTAAAAATAATGTGGAATGAGTGAAAGCTGAGTGTTTGTGGCACCGATGAAGTGTAAAACACTGCTTTCACATCGGGGACATGCGGATGGTTTGACCACCAGCGAGGGTCCGCAGGTTACGGCCCTTCATTTGAAGTGTTTAATGAAAAAAACGTACTGATACAGGCTGATGACAGAAAATAATCTGAGAGGCTCACCTACATAAAAGTGTCAGACAGTCTGTCCAGCTCAACTAGAAAGTCGTCCGACATAAAAGAGTTGACAAAACGATTGTCTTAGTTTCCACGTGGACACCAACAGGCAACAGTGATGTGCATCATCCTCTAACAGCCTGCATTCTGCTGACAGGTGTTAATAACTCGTCATTATTCCTCAGGAAGGTTGTTGGTTCGATGCTGGGTCTGTGTGTGGCACTTACTCTGTGTCAGCAGCTGGGAGATGGTTTTGCGGTTGTCCTCCGAGCCGTCACACTCCTTAGCAGCGAGCTGCTTATTAGCGGTTTCCATGCGCTCTTAAAAACAACACATACAGCACAATGCATTTCAGTGACACTGGTATGGCGTTATCATTGTGCCTCTATTCTGAGCGCGTGTAAAAAAAACAAACAAACAAACAAACAAAAAAAAACAACAACACGCAAAAAATTATTTTGAGGGAAGAATATTTAATCTCTCCATGCAAGAAATGTATTCCAGTTAGTGCTGGGCCATATCATACCGTT